CCAGCCGCCACCGCCGCCTCTGCGCGCCGCCGCCTCGATTCTTCGACAGTGCCGCCGCGCCTGCGCGATGGGCGCCCCCGCCCCAACGACGCCGCCGCCGCGCTCCCGGCCCCGGCTCTGCCCGCGCCCCCGGCCCGGCCCCGGGGGTTCCACCCGCCACCGGGGGAGCCAAGCGCCGGCCACGCGGAGCGCCCTGCCAAGCGGGCGGCTTGGAGCGGAGCGGGGCGGGAGTGAGCCCGCGCCTCCCGCTTGGCACAGGCGAGGTTACCGCGCGCGGTGCGTTCTGACCGCTGCGGGGTCGCTGCGCTCGGTCGCCCCCGACCCCCCCGTGACCCTGGGGCTGCCCCCGTCCCCTGCTGGGCTCGGGCGGGAGGGGCCTTGTGGGTGAAAAAAACCATCGCTTTTTTTTTTTTTTTTTTTTTTTAAACTGTTGTCACTGCACGCAGGAAATAGAACGCTCGAGATTTCCTGTCGTTTGCAACCACAAACCCTCCGCTCTCTAAGGCGGATGAGTACAATCCGCGCAGTGCAAGCGCAGCGCGGCCGTTCCGTTCCGTCCCGTCCCCGCACAGCGACACCACGAGGGGCGGCAGCTCCCTCGCCACGTCCCGCGGGCGGGCACGGCCCTCCCGGCGGCGTTATGTAGGTTACGAGTGGGGGGGGCAGGCAGCGGGGACGCCCGGGGGAGCTCTGACGTCCGCGGAGCCCGGCGGGGCGGTGCCTGCGGCACTCCCGGGGCTGCGGGCCGGGGGATGCGGCTCCGGCACCGGGAGAGGCGTGCGCGGATTACCGCCGTGCCCCGGCGAAGCATGGGTTAACGCGGCTGGCTCCGCAGCGCGGCCCTCCTTTCTCGTTGCATCAAAGTGCTGTAAGGCTGTTCTGTGCACCCCCTCCCGGCTGGAAAGACGCTTTATCCCTGCATGCTAAGTAAACAGATCTTGTTTTCGTCTTCCACCCACTGCCCTCTTTCTCCAGCCTGGAGCTGGAGGCGTGCCAAGGCGGCTGCAGCGATTGCTGCCTCTACACTCACACACACACATACACACACAGCCGGGGAAGCAGCCGGGTTTCTCGGGTGAGGCAATGCGCCTGCAATTGGCAAGGACAAGGCAGGAATTGTAATTGCACTGCATCATGTGATGGCTTATGAAAGAGGAAGTTTGGATGTTTTAGTCACGTACTCCTTTGCCCTCTTGCTTTAGCCTCCAGGTTCTGCGAAGGAAAAAACTGCATATATTTATATACACTGGTGGGAAGCCAAGGAGCTGCGTGTTTGCACACTGCGCGTGGTGAGCAGAGCTCGGAGCGAACTGGCTGCAGGGAGGGAGAAAGCACAGCTTTCAGGCGTCTAACTGCAGGACAGGGAGTGTGACCCCTATTTATTTAACTTCGTTTCTAATGAAATCGGGCTGGTCAGAGCTAGCATTGGCAGTGTTTGGGTTCTGCTGCATTTTGCTGCTTTTGAATCCATTCTGGTAGAAGAGGCAAAAACATCCGTTGCAGCTTTCAGTGTCAAAAAGCAGATAAAAAATAGTGGCATAGGAAATGTGATTTACGAATCAAATCACACACACAAAAGTCTGCAAAGCTGCTGTTACAGCAGTTTCTGCACAAGAATACAACAGATAATGCATTTGTTTCTTGTTGCTTTTATTTATCTATCTATTTATTTATTTATTTATTTAGAAACAGAAACCATCCTTTTGTGCCTGCTCTCCGCTGAATGCCCTGGTGATGACATGGCAAGGCTATATGTAGGGGCACTGGGGCCTGCAGGCATGCCCAGCCGGGGGACCCTGGCACAGGGGAGCCCTGTGCCCTGGGGAGCCCTGACCTGGTTGTGGCTGTGCCTAGTGCCACAGTGCAGGGAAGGAAGGGAGAGGTGCAGCTGGAAACCTCCACAAAGCCATTGCTTTCCCTGGATGCCCACCAGTGGGGGTTGCGGATGCCACAGGTTCCACCTGCAGAACCCATCCTAGGCCAAAGCCCCAAGCTGGGGCAGCGGATTATTGCTGAGATGTTTGCAGGACCTCTGCTGACAGGTAGGAGCAGAGGTTCTCTGCCTCCCAGCTTTGTAGAGTTTCTGCTGCTTTTGTTCCTATTGGAGTTGGCACTTGCTCCAGAGGGTTTTCCAGAAAGCTGAGCGTGGTCGGGTTACAGTGAGCTTCTTGCCTATGTGTGGATTCTGTGATATCTGTGATATTTGCTGAACAGTTCAGAAGCCCCTACAGCACCTGCCAGCTTCTGATTGTACACAGCTGCTCATTTTTGCCTGTGAGAGTACTGGTAGCCATCTTAGAAATGCTGAATGTTCCAATTTTCATTTAGAAGTAGGCATAAATTTAGAAGAGAACCCCCTGTATACCACACCCACCCTCCATTTATTGTGTGGTTTTTGAGACGTACCATTCGAACAGCAGTGCAGTAGAGTCCTGCTCTCACATCAGTACTGTTCCTAAAGAAATATATCTGTCTAACCATTTTTTATTTAATATGGGAAGAAAGTACTGATGTATACAATACTGCTGTCAAGAGCAGCCTGTTGACAAAGGCTTTAAGACAAGCAGATGGTGAGCCACTGACCCTACAAACACTGGAAACCACTCCTAATGTTACCTACAGGACAACTGCTGGACAAGCAGCCATGCTCAGAGTGCGCAGCATGCTGCTAACACCTCTCCCCAGCGCTGCCGACTGCTGTCCCACGCTGCATGACCCCTGTGACATGGAACTGCTGCTGCTGGCAGAGGGACACTGACAGAGTAGCATGTTGTCAGCTTGTGTGTGTGTGCTGGGACAAACGGGGAATGTGGACGTGGTTACTTCACTGTCATTTTTGTTGTAGAAGTTTTGGGTGCATGAATACATCCGAGATCCAACTCGGGTTATTCTCTCATTCTATAATTCTATGAGTAATAGTGTGAGCAAGAACCTCAGTGCTGCAGCTTCTGCTGCTTTGGTGGGCTCTACCCCAGGCAATTTGGAGCCAAAATGGTGTGCTTTTTTTTTAAACAAAAAAAAAAAAAAGGAAATGATTCTGTTTTTAACTGAGCAATTGACTTCACAACCTCATTTCAAGTAGCAGTGGAAAAAAAACAGCAAGGAAAAGATGATGGAAACACTTGAGAAATTCAGAGGTTACTACACTCAAAAGGGAAATAAAAACTTCAGAGGGACTCTTCCAGATGCCAGAAGAAAGGGCAATTGATGTGGAAAATCTTCCGCCTGCTCTCTTCAGCCTGGTAAATAGCTATGTTGGACGCTCCCACTGACACCGTGTTGGCTGCCCTCTGCTGCGAGCCACAATGGGCAATTGTCTATGGGGTATGGGGGGACAGAGCGACTGGGAGCTGCCTGCGGTGTGTTAGCATGGCCAGGCAATCCTGGCCCAGCACCAACAGGAAGACCGGGAGGCCGTGACCCCATGGGAACACCATGCTGCAGCTCGAGAGGTGACCATGTTCTTCTGCCCATCGTTGCAGTCATGTTATTTCAGTTTCGTAATATAACGAGAGCTAGCAGAAGCATGCTCCAATCTGTGGAAACAAAGTGCAGTGAAATTAGTTTCTGGATGTCATTGCTGCCTGCTCCCCCAACCCCCTTTGGGCAGCCGGCATGGGGACAAAGGTGCTGCTCTGTGCTCAGCCCCCAGCCTCACGTTTTTTCTCAGTGCTGTTTCTTAGACTAAGTAAAAACAAGTAAAATAGGGTATTTTTATCGACTTGGACATTCAGTCATATGCACAGTGTACTGCCTGCCGTGTAGCGATCCTAAGTAGGAACACTGACAAGTTTAGGCATTAGTGACACACTTGTAAACACCACTAGCAGAGCTGCAAAGATCGGAGTCATCCCTCTTGCATTCACCTGCATCCCTAATGCCCCAACACCCAGCTGAGCTCCAGAAGGAGTTGCCTGCCAGGAAGCACAGCCAAATTCATATGTGATAAAAAGAACTGTAGCAAAATTAATAACCGGTACACCCATTCTGGAACTGACAATTAACCTTGGTCTCCTCCTCT